TTAATATTTATTAATAAATATTAATAATATATATCTTAATGTCATTCCAATTTTTTAAATTTTAAAACAATATACAGGGTGATGCTTTTAACATGAGACATTCAAATATCTCAAAAAATAAGCACACTGCGAAAAAAATGTTAAGAATCAAAATTTCATCATTTCGAGGGGGACTACAATGACGTTAAAATCAGACCCCCCACCCCGTCCCCTGGGCGGTGAGGGGGGGCAAGTTTTAAATCTTAAATGGGAACCCCTATTTTTTATTGCATATTCGGAATCTTTGGCTAAAAACACATACAATTTGTCTGAAACATTTTTCTCGATTCATGATAGATGGCGCTGTAATCGACGAAATTCAATTTCTTCGATTTCTCTTACTGAGAACCCATGCTTACGATTTTGCAATACATTAACAATAAAAATACCACGTTTCCATTGTTAATACTCGATATTAGTCTTAAAACAAACTCCTCATTATTTTTTATTACTCATTAATTACTTCTCAAGAAACTTACTTTTAGCGTAACCCAGGAACAACGACTTGGACGTAGCAGTTTTCTGGTCCCTTCGTACGATAAAATGAAGCACGTGACCGAATTCTATCTGGAAAACGCTCAGCGTAGAGATTGACAGCATTATCAAGATTTCTTCCAGTTTCTCCATACACCAGAACCATTCCAATTTTTTCTCGTAGAGTTAGATACTCCATTCTAAAGTAGTATTCGGAATAATCTTTGATTTAAGTAAAGTCAGTTTTGTTTTAAAGTTATTTTTTTTTCATTTGTACTGTATTTAAGAAAAGAAAAAAATAAACACTCTCAAAGTGTGTCGTTGGCCTCGTCTGACCTCTAAAATACGCCAGAGCTCAATAATACCCAGGAAACACTGTTAAAGTAAATATTTACATTAACAGTGTTTCCTGGGTTACAAATTATTTGTAATGAATCAGCTCAGTGTTGCGGCTGTGCGTGCCACGAGGAATGAACAAAACTCGCTTTACTTAAATCGAAGATTATTCCGAATACTACTTTAGAATGGAGTATCTAACTGTACAAGAAAAAATTGAAATGGTTCTGGTGTATGGAGAAGCTGGAAGAAATTTTGATAATGCTATCGATCTCTACGCTCAGCGTTTTCCAGATAGAATTCGGTCACGTGCTTCATTTTATCGTATTATCAAACAATTTACTACCGATGGAAGTGTTCAACCACAAAAAAAGTCCCGTAATCGAACAGTCACGGGAGAAAATAATGAAATTGCTGTATTAGCATTTGAATTGCGGATTAACAAGTGCATTGAAGTCGAAGGTCATCACTTTGAGCACCTTCTTTAATTGAAAGATGATTCCCTGAGTACTCCGAATCGTGAGAGGCGAGGGGACTCACGTTAATCAAGCACCCCGAAGGGAACAGAAAACTGCTACGTCCACGTCGTTGTTCCTGGGTTACGCTAAAAGTAAGTTTTTTGAGAAGTAATTAATGAGTAATAAAAAATAATGAGAAGTTTGTTTTAAGACTAATTTCGAGTATTAACAATGAAAACGTGGTATTTTTATTGTTAATGTATTGCAGAATCGTAAGCATGGGTTCTCAGTAAGAGAAATCGAAGAAATTGAATTTCGTCGATTACAGCGCCATCTATCATGAATCGAGAAAAATGTTTCAGACAAATTGTATGTGTTTTTAGCCAACGATTCCGAATATGCAATAAAAAATAGAGG